AATATCACATATTTTATTTCATCCAATTTTATGTTAATAGTCCTGTTTAATATACCCATAGTGGTGAAGGGTATCATATAGTCGGCCCCGTCCGACTTTACTACTGTCCTTACTGGTTTCACTTGTATTTGATTTAATTCGAATCTACTCTAATTCTAAAATGTCCCTACAAAATTTCAATTGAAAATCTCATTGTGTTAGCATCAACTGACGGCAAGAGTGATTCTCAATTTAAAACTAAAGAAACTCAACCTTGGGTGTCGATGAAGCAGGCCCTATTCTTTCAGTAAACTGCGTCATCTCTTCTTTTTCGCCTCTATAAAGAAGGCCGTCTGACTTGTTGGTGTTGTCCTCGGCTTTTACTTATAGGTCGTAGTTCATGGCCACTGAGTTGGGCGTCAATGAAGAAAGCTCCTTGGATTTCAATGAGGCTTACCCCACGTTGGGCGCCAATAAAGAAACTCGTCCTTGGGTGTCGATGAAGCAGGCCCCATGTTGGGCGTCAGTGAAGAAACTCGAAACAACAAGATTTACAATAATGTTGGCTACTCCTGGTTTAGGAACTAATTGCAGCTTATGATCTAGTCCATCAACTTGGGCAAGCGTGGGTAATGATCCTAAGCCTTCAGTGTTCGCTAAACGAATTAGAGCCGGGGGGTCCAGGACTCGGAGTGTAGCGATTTTATTGAAATTAGATTGAGCTTAGTTACTACCTATGAGAAGCAAGATTCTTATCTAGTATTGGTTGTATAAAAAGGTAGTAAGGTCAGTGATGTAGTTTTGGGTACTATTTACATAAGTAACCGTTAATTTCAAATATTTAAATAAGTATTGCATTTTAGTATTCAAATGACCAATAAAACGTATGTGTTTATACTAAAGTAATTAAAAAATTCAAAACGAAGTTTTCTCGAAGCTGTGTTTTACGAATGGCGGGCACGATAACTCAAAAACTAATAATCGGTTCCAAATTTTGACACTTTTCTCAGGGAGTGTATGAACTAGTATAAAGCCAATCGGTGAAGATCCTCCTTATTTTTTTCTTAGTTTGTGGCCAAAAATATGCGGTTTTCAAAAAAAAAATCAAAGTTCCACCATTTTGTTAATTGTTGAGAGTTCATACGAGACCCAGTTCATACGAGACCCAGACATGTACTCTTTCTAACACCGTTGGAATTTTCGGATTCCGATGTTGCAGTGAGGAGTTATCATGCCCGCCATGAAAAATAAGGACTTTTGTTTGATCACAAAAAACAACAAATTTTTTTGTAAATTATTTTTCTCCGTTTTGAAATATTCAAATATGTATGTGCAAAGATACAAACCTTAACAAGCATTGGTATTAATTTACCAGCCCATTTAAAATCTTAAAAATAAAAAATTGTGAATGGAATATAGACTACATTCTGATTTATAAGCAAAAATTCGGGTCAATTGTACAAATGTTGGTGGTTTTCTCCGTTATTTACATAAAATCGACCAAAAAATACATGGGAGCTTTACAATACATTGGAGCTATATCTAAATCTGAACCGAATTTCTCCAATTCCAATAGGACCAAAATGTAAATTATGTCAAGTTTCATTTTATTCTGATCATACATGCGACATGTACTTTCTATACATTTTTACATGGATCGACGGATGGACATGCATACTCCTAGATCAATTAAGAAAGTGATTCTATGCATATTCTGAAATGTAATCATGGGTTTATCTCGTTTCCTTGGAAATGTAAAAAAAATATGCACAACTACATAATGTCCTGTGATGTATATTATTAAATTAACGGTTGATGTGCCCTTTAGTGTCATATAACGCTGTTGTGAATCCAAACCATTGTTTTGGACATTGTACAGTTGTCGAAACCATCGATTTAGTGGCTCAAAAGTCAAAAAAGTAAACTATAAAATTACGAAAAAAAATTAGGCTGAATTATTTCGCAACATATCTCAATTGTTTTAGAAATTATTTATTTAGCGACACTAAATCTGTGATTTCGAGCACTGTGCATTGTCGAAACAATTATTATGATTACGCGTATAATACATTATCCAATAGGGTTTGTTACGTTTTTGGAATTTCTTGAGTTCAAGTTCCTAGCACACATCTAAATATTATATTAGAATACCACATTGGTTTAGTTCTTTACAACATTCTTCAATTGGTCGAACTTGGCTGCTTATAATTTCGTTTTAAAACTTGTATATTTCTATTCTTTTGAAGCATTTAACGGAACACCTTATTAGTCTAGGGCAAGTTCAATACTATATGCTAAATATATTACCGAAAAGGCCAAGCGAAAAAATGTAGGTCATAATTGTGGAATGTAAATAATAAATGTACACAACACAATTTAGTTATTTTGTTGTTGTTATATTTTATTAACAACAAATTGTTGCGACGTAGCGAGTGAATGAAAGAGAAACTTTTATTTCTTTGATATGGGGTGCTGTGATTTTGATATTTGTGTCAAAAACATCGGCGATGATTGTTCATTTAATTCATTAATGTAAACAGTTGTAGCAATAAAGAGAATATTAAATGATCTACAATGGAGACTTGGAATAAGAAGAGTTATATTTATACTGCATGATTCGGATCTTTAAATAAATGAAACAAGTAATATAAGGGGAATATGCCATCGTATATTGCTACCAGAAGAAAGCGAAATACCAAAGAACATACACTCTGGCTGAAGAATTGCGCAATAACCTTGAAGAAACCAGATAGGGTGACCATTTTAGAAATATTGATAATATTGAAATCAAATTTCAGAATTTTCTTCTCATAAAAGTTTTGAATTTTTTATCAGTTCTAGTAAGGAAAAGTCAGATATATGTAAAAATAATATTAGATTGGGGAAAAAGAAAGGACTTTATTTAACTTGCTTCGGAATGTCCGATTTGGGCTAAATATGCACCGTTTCGCTGTATGATATGTTGCCATTTCAACAGTAAGTTTATAATGTCTCTCTTATAGAAGTCCTGCTCTCTATTTGCAAAAAAACTCTAGTAGTCGATTTTCACAATCCTCCCAAGATACTAGTTTTTTTTTATCGTTAAATAAATATTGCAATGCAAGAAAAATACGATTATCGCTTGGCGCCAAGTCCGGACTGTATGCATTAAAACTTCCCGAAGTATCTGGAGAGTCACTTAAGATATATGTGGCCTAGCGTTGTCCTGGTGGAACACGACACCTCTCCTGTTGGCCCGTTCTGGCCGTTTCTGTTCAATTGTAAATAGTTTAAAACAGTTTAATGGTCGATTTTAGCTTCTGGGGCGATGTTACGACTGCTAACATGCCGGTCAACTTCGATCATTTCTCATTTTTAAGACCCTATAACTCACAACTGAATGAACCAAACAAAATCTTGCAAAATATTTTTTTACTGCAAAATCTCCCTCTTCCAACGAGCATAAATCTGAAATTGTTTGATCGATACTTTACGAGAAATCTATCAGTACAGCCATTTACCGAAAAAAATTATGGATTTCTTTTTCCCCAACCTAATATACATATATTCTTGAAAATAACTGTATATGGCGATAATATTGAAATAAATGACGTTTACTACATGTATTAGATTTTATACAGGTATATGACATTTTCGACGTTTAAACCTGTTTGACAGTTGATTTCTTAAAAATTCTATATTTTTTATTTTTATGCACTTGTCTCATGAGCGCCATTGTTAACTAAAAAACGTATCGATTTATTTATAATATATCCATGTACAAATGTGTAAGACGGGGACTTTTCAATTGGCATATTCTATTTCCACAAAAAATTTCCATATCACCAGCTGTAGATTATGGGTACAAATTATAAAATAAACTGTTGGTAAAAATTCGAATTAAAAAAATATAATTTTTAAAGAGTCACGATTACACCTCATTTTATTATAAGTCTTCTTTCAAAAAGAGAACATACACATTCTCTTCAAACAAATGAGTCAATTGAGATCCCCCATCATGCGAATGTGTTCCACAGCCCACAATAAAAGACCGGCAGTGTCAGCTAAAAAAATGTACCCAGTTTCTGATGGTATTGTTTTGTTGTTGTTGGTTTTTTTTTTGGCTCCTCTGTTCTTCATAAAATTGTTCAAAACAGTTGATTCAGAGTTCTTGTCGGTGTTTCGACAGAGCAGCAATAGTTGCAAAGCCGAAGAAGCGTGAAAAGAATTCGAAAATTATCAATTTTTTTATTTTGTTTTTATTTGATATTTTTTACAAAACAAAGGCTGTTCATAAAAAAATGTTCCAATGAAATAAAAGAAAATATTAGCTTTAATGACTCAGGGCAATAAATTTTCCGGTGTTTTGTTTGTTTGTTTGTTTGTTTGGTGCTTTCCTCCTAATGTTTTGTTTTAAAAATAGTAATTAGTTCTAAAAATAAGAGTATTGCGGACCATGGGAAATTGTATGGAATTATTTTCCAATCTTGATACCGTAGTTGGTGATCCAAGAGTAAGAAAATATTTATATTTGAAAATATCAACATTTAAAAATTTCAATTTTCAATATTTATAATACAGTGAAATTTTGTTGTGGCGATTCTTTGGTAACAGAATTTCTTTTCATGTGTTTGGTTAATTGTGAAGAAAAACATATATATTTTGTATGATGATACATATTGACTGTCAATTAACACCTATAATTTATTTGTAATATGCTATATACATATATTTCGTTATTCAACAGGTGGTAGTTATAACTATGTATGTTTGACTGTATTTAATATAATTATTTATTATTATTTGTTGTTTTTGTTTTAATATAGCGTGGCTTTAGTGTTAGGTTGACCATCCCCAAAATATACTTATGTATACATTTTTTTATATATGTATATTATGTTTTTATATATAGACCAAGTCATCCAACAGTTTATTAATTTTTGTATTTATGAATAGTTTTATATACTCTAGAGCATAGGAAAATAAACACTGAAAATCATATTAATAATAATTATATATATTTTTCGTTCTCCCCTCTTTAGACACGACGACGTTTCCAAGATGGTGTACGTGGTGTTGACTATGTTCTGGCCTACAATGGTGCCGATCACAAATTGGACAATATCAAAAAACGTGAAACATTCGAAGCGAATTTAGAAAAAGAAGGCCTCCACCTAGAACGTGATAATACCCAACGGATACATTTCATTAAGATTCATGCACCCAGAGAGGTGTTGTATCGTTATGCTGAAATACTTAAAATTAAGCTGCCAATGAAAAAGGTGTGTATAATGAAATGGTTAGGTTTCGTTTGTAAGTATTCCCCACTTGATAGCAGGGGAATTTGTGCAAATGTTATTTGTGATTTTAAATACATTGGCATTGGGTTGATATATGAATCCCGGTTATATGCACTTCAAGCTGTTTCTGCATTCTGACAGTTTGACTATTAACCCTTCATCGTATACATGCTGACAATTACTTTCAATGAAGTTTCCACCATCATCATGTGATACACTGCTTAATTACACTGAAACTCGAGCAAATATTATTTCAGGTTTAAAACATATTTCTATTAATTTGAGATATACATTCTGCTTAGAAGCGCACTAAACTGGTTCTATTTTCGTTAGGTTTAATTTAGTGCCGAACTGTTTTTTAACCTCCCCCCATAGATATGCTGACAGTTCCTTCAAATAAAGTTTCACAGTTGACCTATGCCGACTATTCGAAATTATATTTCCTATCCACATGGTAATGGAAATAATACATTGATGTCACTTTTGATGTCAAATTTTTCTAAAATACTGAAGACTGAAGATTAGAACGCTATATCTAACCATAGAACAATATTGAAACACAGGGTGTCTTCATAGGCATACTGAAGTTTTTATGCATTCTGAAGTGTTAGGCAGTATTTATTAACAATTTAAAGCTCAGAAGGAGTGTTAAAAGCCGAAATGAAGTATCAGGGTGATGTTACAGGCGAGCTGGAGGGTCTGACGATTTTTATACCCTTCACCACACTGTGGTACAGGGTATTATGTCTTTGTGCATATGCTTGTAACGGGCAAAAGGAATCGAGATAGGCACATGGTTCCTTTTGAGAATATGCATAGAATCACTTTCTAAGTCGATTTACGCATGTCCGTCTGTCCGTCCGCCCGTCTGCCCATGTTAAATTGTAAACAATGTACAGGCCGCATTTATAATTCGTATTGGATGAAATTTGGCACAGCTTATTCATTTGGCCCAAGGACGAACCCTATTGAAATTAGGAAAAATCGGTTCAGATTTAGATATAGCTCCCATATATATTTTCGTCCGATTTAATCTAAATGGTGCACCATAGTTCCTAAATAGCTTTCGATTTGCACGAAATACGGCATAGCGTACTGAATTTCGTCCAGACTGATGTGTGCTAAGTTTCGTGAAAACGGGTCCAGATTTCGATATAGCTCCCATATATAGTTTCGTCCGATTTCAGGTATATGGTGCACCAAAGTCCCTATATATCCTTCGGTTTGCACGAAATTTGGCATAACGCACTGAATTGAGCCTATAGTGCCTTGTTTCGTAAAAATCGGTCCAGATTGAGATATAGCTCCCATATATAGTTTCGTTCGATTTCTTGTGAATGGTGCACCAAAGTCAACATATATCTTGTGAGTTGCACGAAATTTGGCATAACGTACTGAATTTAGTGTAGAATGATGTCTGCCAAGATTCGAGAAAATCATTCCAGATTTAGATATAGCTCCCATATATAGTTTCGTCCGATTTCATGTAATTGGTGCCCCAAAGTCCCTACATATCGTTCGATTTGCACGAAATTTGGCATAACGTACTGAATTGAGCCTAGAATCATCTTTGCCAAGTTTCGAGAAAATCGGTCCAGATTTAGATATAGCTCCTATATATAGTTTCGTCCGATTTCATGTAAATGGTGCACCAAAGTCGCAATATATATAATATATTTGCGCGAAATTTGGCATAACGTACTGAATTGAGCCTATAGTGCCTTGTTTCGTAAAAATCGGTCCAGATTGAGATATAGCTCCCATATATAGTTTCGTTCGATTTCTTGTGAATGGTGCACCAAAGTCAACATATATCTTGTGAGTTGCACGAAATTTGGCATAACGTACTGAATTTAGTGTAGAATGATGTCTGCCAAGTTTCGTGAAAATCGGTCAAGATTTAGATATAGCTCCCATATATAGTTTCGTTCGATTTCATATAAATGGTGCACCAAAGTCCCTATATATTTTTCGATTTGCACGAAATTTGGCATAACGTACTGAATTAAGCCTAGAGCACTGTCTGCCTTGTTTCGTGAAAATCGGTCCAGATTTAGATATAGCTCCCTTTTATTATAGATGAATTTTAAGTAATTGACGCACCAAGGAACCAATAGGCTGATAGGAACAAAACGTTCTGAAATTAGTATAACCTAACATGTGACAAGTTTGTTTGAAATCGCTTAATATTTGGATAGAGCTTCCATATATAATTTCGCCCGATTTCAAGTAAATTGGCCATCAAACTCCTCATGTTAGTCAGATTGACATCAAATTTTGCACAACTTACAAAATTGTGTATAGAGTTACGTAGTTGCGTTTTCTAGAAGTACAGACATAGCCCAACGGATGACCTATTTATTTTTGTTTGAAGTCGATTTACATACTTTATGAATAGATCTAGATAGATTCACATTTAGATAAATATCACATATTTTATTTCATCCAATTTCAATAGTGGTGAAGGGTATCATATAGTCGGCTCCGTCCAACTTTACTTCTTTCCTTACTGGTTTGTGATTTAAAATACACACGACGTTGGCTTGATGTATGAATCCCGGTTATATGCACTTCAAGCTGTTTCAGCATTCTGACAGTTTGACTATTGACCCTTTATCGTAAGCATGCTGACAATTACTTTCAATGAAGTTTCCACCATCATCATGTGATACACTGCTTAATTACACTGAAACTTGTGCAAATATTATTTCAGGTTTAAAACACATTTCTATTAATTTGAGATATACATTCCGCTTAGAAGCGCACTAAACTGGTTCTATTTTTGTTAGGTTTAATTTAGTGCCGATCTTTTTTTACCCTCCTCCAAAGGTATGCCGACAGTTCCTTCAAATAAAGTTTCACAGTTGACCTATGCCGACTATTCGAAATTATATTTCCTATCCACATGGTAATGGAAATAATACAATGCTGTTATTTTTTTATGTCAAATTATTCTAAAATTTTAAAATACTGAAGATTTGGTGTACCATTATATGGACGCTATATCTAACCATAGAACAATATTGAAACACAGGGTGTCTTCATAGGCACACTGAAGTCTTTATGCATTCTGAAGGCTTAGATAGTATTTATTAACAATTTAAAGCTCAGAAGAAGAAGCTGGAGGGTCTGATAATTTTATGGTTTACATGAAGGTTCACATCTACTTATAAATAAACTGAAGATTGTGGTAGTCTTTACAAGTGAATTGAAGTTACAGATAACCTTTATAAGGGCTCTTTATAGGCGATCTGAATATTCAGATTAGTTTTATAGGACATATGAAGGAAGTGATCTGAAGATGAATATAGTCCTTATAAAAGTGTTGAAATCGCATGGAGTCGTTATAGAGAACTTTAAAAGAACGCAGAATGCTCTGTTATTCAATATAAGTGAGCCGAAAGCTCTGAGGGTTTTCATAAGCAAACTAATATGATGCTGGAAGTTCAGGGAGTATTTATGAACAAGTTAAAGCTCAGGAGAAGTTGTTAATAATGAGCTGAAGGTCCAGGGAGAATTTATATGCGAGCTGAAATTAAGAGAGTGTATTTAAAGGCGAGTGAAATAAGTGAACGAAATTGCAGTACAATTTTTCTCGTAATATGAATCCGAAATTCTAAAACACAGCCAATAAAAGCGGGCTCAAACTCCCAAAAAAATGGAGAAAATTTTGGAAGTACTGTTGTATGGGGGTTCTGTGGATCAATAAAGATAATTTCTGTTAGCAAAATTCAAAACATTAACCTACTTAAGTACAATATATATATAGATTTTATACTTACGGCCAATTCAGATTAGAATCGTGTCCTATCTTCGAATCTGTACTAACTGCAGACAAAAGATATATATATGCAAAACTTCACCCCCTATCACAATACCTTTGGAATATAGCGTGATGTGCACGGACAGACATGGTTGAATCGTCTTAGAATTTTACATTGACCAAGAATATATACGAGGGCGGTTTGGAAACTTTTTAGCCTATCAATGAAAGAGAATAGTTAGTTTTTCAAAAATATTTTTATTTTTAATTTAATCTCCTGGTACTTCAAAACACTTAGTCCTCTTTTCAAGCAATTCTATCCCTTGATTAAAATTGTTTTCCTCAAGATCTCCAAAATAGTGGTTTACAACTGTAATTGCATCTTCATTTGAGGTAAAACGCTTGCCAGCAAACAATTTTTTAGATTTGGGAACAATTAAAAGTCACTGAGAGGTAAATCAGGAGAATAAGGTAAGGTAAGGCAACTCGTACTTTGATTCGTTGATTTTAGCCATTGTTAAAACACTCTTGTGCACTCTTGATTTTTTTTTTTTTTTTGGTTGTGAGCCAGGACCCTTTTCTCGAATTTGTACATTTAATTGATCCAAAAGGTTGCAATAGTACTCGGAAGTTATTGTTTTACCCTTTTGCAGATAGTCAATCAATTAACCTTACCAGCCGATTGAATTATTTTTTTATTTATTTTTTTTTTTACTTCCTCCACCTTCAGTCCATTGTGTGGATTGTGCTTTTGTCTCTGGAGTATAGTGGTGGATCCATGTCTCATCAACAGTTATGAAACTACGCTTAAAATCAATTTTACTTCGCTTAAAACGATCCAAACAAGCGTGATAAATGCTCATTCTTATGCATTTTTATTCTACTCTTAACAATAGTGGCAACCATCTTGCAGAAAGCTTTTTCATCTGTAGTTTTTCATGCAAAATTAAATGGACTCGATCATTTCAGATGCCCATGATAATAGCAATTTCACGCACTTTGATTCGTCGATCATTTAATGCCATATCACGCACTTTGTCTACAATTTCTGCTGTTGTTGCTGCTTTTGGACGTCCTCTATGTGATTCATCTTCAATGCTTGTACGACCAGGTTTAAATTCACCAACCCAATTTCTACACCCTTCACCACACAGATAAAAGGAAACAGGATAAACACGTAGCTCCTGTTGAGAATATGGATAGAATCACTTTTTAAGTCGATTTATGCATGTCCGTTCGTCCGTCTGTCCATGTTAAATTGTAAACAAAGTACAGGTCGCATTTATGATCCAAATTGGATGAAATTTGGCATAAGTCACTCAATTGACCCATGGACGAACTCTATTGAAATTGGAGAAAATCGGTTGAAATTTAGATATAGCTCCCATATATATTTTCGTCAGATTTTATGTAAATGGTGCGCCAAAGTCCCTATATATCTTTCGATTTACACGAATTTTGGCATAGCGCACTAAAGTAAGTCAAGAATGATGTGTGCTAAGTTTCGTGAAAATCGGTTCAGATTTAGATATAGATCCCATATATATATTTTCCGATTTTATGTAAATGGTGCACCAAAATCCTTATATATATTTCGATTTCCACGAATTTTGTCATAGCGTACTGAATTAAGTCTTGAATGATGTGTGCTAAGTTTCCTGAAAATCGGTTCAGATTTAGATATAGCTCCCATATGTATTTTCGTCCGATTTTATGTTAATGGAGCTCGAAAGCCCCTTTATATACTTAGATTTAACCGAATTTTGGCATAGTGTACTGAATTAAGTCTAGAATGATTTGTGCGAAGTATCGTGGAAATCGGTTCAGATTTAGATATAGTTCCCATATATATTTTCGACCTATATACACGAATTTTGATGTCTGCTTAACTTCGATTCAGATTTAGATATAGCTCCCGTATTTAGTTTCTTCCGATTTTATGTAAATGATACACCAAAAACCATATATATCTTTCGATTTGCTCGAAATTTGGCTTAACAGATGGCTTAGGAGATTTAGACGACGTTTGCTAGGAGGCATATGTAGAAGATATCCAAAGTGGTGAAGGGTATCATATAGTTGGCCCAGTCCGACTTTACTACTTTTCTTTTGCATGTGAATGAGCACTTTCACCGAAAACATTGACCATAAACCTTTTTTATGTAAATATTTAATTTAATTTTTGTAAAATAACTGCGGATGCGTGTAAAATAACTGCGGATGCGTCCTTTTAGAACACCTGTTTCTATATGAATGAGTTGCCAAATAGAAACAAAATTTAACATGTGTTCATAAAAGAGAAGGAATTTTACAAAAAAATTAACTTTTTTCTGTTTATACCGCGCTTTTTGTGCTAGGCTAAGAAGTTTCCGCCCTCGTATTCTTTAAGTCCAAAAAGCTGTATTCTTTAGGCCAGTTGGGTCGATCCATCGTTTTTCTGATGGAAACGAAATTTTGTTCAGCGTTCCAAATTGAGCCTAGGATAACGTGTATAACGATTTATAACTGTCGCATGTATTATATTCCGATTCGATGTAGATAGTGCACAAAACACCCAATGTTTGTCCGATTGAAAAAAAAACCGATTGAAAAAAAACGCACAACGCAATGACAAAATTAACACACACTCCATTTAAACAGATTGGTGTAGTGTATCATATAGGCTCTCCCCGAATTTGATGCTTTATTTACTTTTTTTAATAATTCGTGTTTTTTTTTATTTTCAGATACCCGGCCAAGATCAAATCTATAGAGAAGAATATGAACTCAGTGATAGTGTACGAACGTGTTGTGGCAATTTATTCAAATCAATACAACTGAATCCTGAAAAGTTTCCACCTAAACCAAAACGTATTCATTTTGAATTTCAACGCAACTACGAGCATTTGTAAGTATTTATCCACTGAAATACTCTTAACACATTCTAAATCCCACAGTAATTACTAGAGCGTTATGTGTATGTAAGTCATTAACACAAAATACACCTTAAACATAAAGTGATTCTATGAATATCCTCCTTCCGAATGTTACTAACATTGGCACAAACTGTACCACAGTTTGGCGTAGGGTATCAAAATACGATCGCGATATTTCAATACACGTTTATAAGGTCATCATAGGTTATGAATTAGGTATCTATGCGTATGAACACGGAACAATACTGATATCAAACGTGTGGACCTTCCAAGCTGAATCAAATGCAACTAATGTTGTTCGTGGAAGAAACATTTCGAAGCGAATTGTCGCATGTTTCTTCGGCATAGCTGGTCATGTAATGTTCCGTTTGATAAACGCAGTAGTTACTTCCGAATGGAACACCACCATTTAGTTGTCTGAAGTCTTTGGAAAAGTCGAAAAAAATTCCTGCACCATATCAATGCGACCCGCCGTACATTACTAACTTGGTACCAAATCTTTCTCCCACGAATAAAGGTTTCTAACGTAACATAGATCCATTTATGGTAAATATTTTAGACGAATTCGATGGCTTTTTGTTATGCACAGTTAATTGGAAATTGTCAGCATCCGAAGATATAAGGTTTTCTTAGTAAGGATCTAATGATCGATATTTTTGTAAAATATTGGTCTGGGCAAAAAGAAATCCATTATTTTTTCGGCAGATCAAGCAATTTGAGATTTATGGTAGTTGGAAGGGTGACATATCGCAGTAAAAAAAAAACATTAAGGAAAGTAGTAAATTCGGACGGGGCCGACTATATGATACCCTTCACCACTTTGGGTATATTCAACAGATGAATCCTAAAAGACGTCGCATTATAAAAGGACCATTCAAATGAAATTGGATCCATAAACATGTCATTCTGCAACCTATACTATTTTTTCATTTGGTCAGATATAGAAGCTATATCTAAATCTGAACCGATTTCAGGAAATTTAACACACATCAATCTAGACCTAATTCATTACGCTGTGCCAAATTTCGTGCAAACCGAAAGATATTAAGGGACTTTGGTACACCATTTACCTTAAACTGGACGAAAATATATATGGGAGCTATATCTAAATCTTAACCGATTTTAACGAAACTTAGCACACATCATTCTACACTTAATTGAATACGATATGCTAAATTTCGTGCAAATCGAAAGATATATAGGGACTTTGGTGGACCATTTACATTAAATCGGACGAAACTATATATGGGAGCTATATCTAAATCTGAACTGATTTTCATGAAACTCAGCACACATCATTCTATGCTTAATTCATTACGCTGTGCCAAATTTCGTGAAAATCGAAAGATATAAAGGGACTTTGGTGCACCATTTACATAAAATCGGACGAAAATATATATGGGAGCTATATCTAAATCTGAACCGATTTTCACGAAACTTAGCACACATCATTCTAGACTTAATTGAATACGATATGCTAAATTTCGTGCAAATCGAAAGATATATAGGGACTTTGGTGGACCATTTACATTAAATCGGACGAAAATATATATGGGAGCTATATCTAAATCTGAATCGATTTTCAGGAAACTTAACACACATCGTTCTATACTTCATTCATTACGCTGTATTTAATTTCGTGCAAATCGAAAGATATATAGGGACTTTGGTGCACCATTTACATAAAATCGGACGAAACTATATATGGGAGCTATATCTAAATCTGAACTGATTTTCATGAAACTCAGCACACATCATTCTATGCTTAATTCATTACGCTGTGCCAAATTTCGTGAAAATCGAAAGATATAAAGGGACTTTGGTGCACCATTTACATAAAATCGGACGAAAATATATATGGGAGCTATATCTAAATCTGAACCGATTTTCCCAATTTCAATAGGGTTCGTCCTTGGGCCAAATAAGTGACCTATGCCAAATTTCATCCAAATCGGATCATAAATGCGACCTGTACTTTGTTCACAAAAATACATGGACGGAAAGACGAACATGCGTAAATCGACTCAGAAAGTGATTTTATGCATATTCTCATAAGGAACCATGTGTCTATCTCGTTTCCTTTTACCTGTTACAAACATATGCACAAAGACATAATACCCTGTACCACAGTGTGGTGAAGGGTATAATAATTTTGTCGAAAATGTCAATAAAATCGAAGAAATTGTAGAATTTGACCGGCATTTAACAGTTGTAACATCGCCCATGAGCAAAAAATCGATCATAAAACTATTTTAAACCATTTACAATTGATCAGAAATATTTGAAATCTCATAACAACATTTGTTCAATACTTAACTTTTTTCTCCTTACAGATTTGATTGTGAGCAACCAAATTTCTTTGATGCCGGTACTCGAATTTATATAATCAATTTTATATTGGAGCGACAACATTTTATAGAAGGTGAAGAAACTCCCGATAATTTAGGTATAGAAAAACTTTTAGCTGATGGTGTTTATGAATGTGCATATACGCTGCATGACGTAAGTTTCGAAATTTCAATACACATATGAACTTTCTTAATGGCTATATAATATTTCAGGACACTGATAGAGATTTACTGTTAAGCGAATGGGCCAATATAAGAAAATGGAAACAGTGAGTTTGGAAATTGAATTAAATTTATCATATACATCTATTAACTGTATCTTACTTTCAGTTTACAACCACTAGATGCAATAAAAGAATACTTTGGTGCCAAGGTTGCCATATATTTTGCATGGCTTGGATTTTATACACACATGTTGATACCGGTTAGCATTTTTGGTATACTCTTCTTTATTTATGGTTTTATAACGTGGCACACTGATCCAATCAGGTATGATGACGAATACGCTGACACACCTATTGCAAATCAAATTTTATTTTGGAACTTTTTTTTTTATATTTTTGACAGTCAAGAAATTTGCAATGCAAACAAAACCACCCTAATGTGTCCGCAATGTGATCGTAATTGTGATTATTGGGAACTGAAAAATACCTGTGCAGCATCGAAAATGAATTATCTGATAGATAATAATATGACAGTGTTGTTTGCGTTTATAATGTCAATGTGGGGTGAGTATCAAAAATTAATAACTGAATAAAAAATAGTTTTTGTAAAAAAAGTCTTCAATGAATCCATTTTTATACCCTTCACCACATTGTGGTACAGTGTATTATGTCTTTGTGCATATGTTTGTAACAGACAAAAGGAATCGAGATCCTTTTGAGAATATGCATAGAATCACTTTCAGAGTCGATTTATGCATGTCCGTCTGTCCCTCCGTCTGTCCATGTTAAATTGTAAACAAAGTACAGGTCGCATTTATGATCCGAATGGGATGAAATTTGGCATAGGTCACTTATTCGGCCCAAGGACGAACCCTATTGAAATTAGGAAAAATCGGTTCAGATTTAGATATACCTCCCATATATAAATATATATATATATATTTAACCGATTTAATGTAAACGGTCCCTATATATCTTTCGATTTGCACGAAATTTGGTACAGCCTAATCATTTAGGTCTAGAATGATGTCTGCCAAGTTTCGAGAAAATCGGTCCAGATTTAGATATAGCTCCCATATATAGTTTCGTCCGATTTCATGTAAATGATGCCCCAAAGTCCCTATATATCTTTTGATTTGCACGAAATTTGGCATAACGTACTGAATTAAGCCTAGAGTGATGTCTCCCAACTTTCGAGAAAATCGGTCCAGATTTATATATAGCTCCCATATATAGTTTCGTCCGACTTCATGTAAATGATGCCGCAAAGTCCCTATATATCTTTTGATTTGCACGAAATTTGGCATTACGTACCTTATTGAGCCTAGAATGATGTCTGCCAAGTTTCATGAAAATCGGTCCCGATTTAGGTATATCTCCCATATGTAGTTTCGCTCGATTTCATGTAAATGGTGCCCCAAAGTCCCTATATATCTTTCGATTTGCACGAAATTTGGTACAGCCTAATCATTTAAAGCTAGAATGCTGTCTGCCAAGTTTCGTGAAAATCAGTCCAGATTTAGATATAGCTCCCATATATAGTTTCGTCCGATTTCATGTAAATGGTCCCCCAAAGTCCCTATATATCTATCGATTTGCATATATATTATCGCCCGGCATCAAACTCCTCATGTTAGTCAGATTGACATCAAATTTTGCACATCGTACAAAATTGAGCATAAAATTATATAGTTGCGTTTTCTAGAAGTACAGACATAGCCCAACGGACGACCTATTTCTATTTGTTTGAAGTCGATTTACATACTTTATGGATATATCTAGGTAGATTCACATTTAGATAAATATCACATATTTTATTTCATCCAATTTCATGCTAATAGTCCTGTTTAATATACCCATAGTGGTGAAGGGTATCATATAGTCGGCCCCGTCCGACTTTACTAATTTTTTTACATTAAAGAGTCTTCCAAAAATATTACATTCATTTAGGACATTTCAAAAATATTTTACGCTAGAACCTTCCTTATATATTCCACGCTTCTGGGTCACTTTAACAAATATTTTTAAAAAGCTCAAAAGCTTTAGGACTCTTCAAAAAATTTACGCTTATAGGTCTCTTCAGAAGAATATGTATTAACCAGTAAGGATAGTAGTAAAGTCGGACGGGCCCGACTATATGATACCCTTCACCAATATGAACCTGTACTTTGTTTACAATTTAACACCAACAGACGGTCAGACGGACCGACATGCATAAATCGACTCAGAAAGTGATTCTATGCATATTCTCAAGACTTCTCACGACTGTGGAAATTTATTAAAAATATGTTTTAAAAAGTTTTGAAAAATCCACGTTGGGGAAATCTTCAAAAAATAGTTTTTGAAAAAATCCACGCTTGTGAAAATCTTTAGAAAATAATTTTTAGAAAATCTAAAAAAAATAATTTTTAAAAAATCCACGCTTGTGGAAATCTTCAGTAAATATTTCCCAAACCAGTAAGCGGAGCAGTATAGTCGGACGGAGCCGACCATACGATACCGATAGGTCAACAGCACCTCTTCCTTACAGTGACATATTTTCCGAATATTACCAATATTCAGTACAGCCCTTCTAATTACTTGTCCACATTCCCTTCACCGTGGGCTGTGTTGTGATGTTCGGCTTATAATAGTAGCCTATAGATCGAATCAAAAAAAAAAAAAAAAAAAAAAAACACAACAAATAAGTTTTCGGTTTACTTCATCCCAAAATAATTATCTGATCATCACCGAAAATTATAGGCGTTGTCCTTGACCATACCATATATTTAAGCCCTCCAGTGAGGCAATGGGTTACTAAATAATATGTGATTACGTAAGCACCTGTAAATATTTAAGTGTAACTGCCACATCCGTGTACATACGAGAATATGATTGGTATCAATTTAAAGGCCAATCACTCCCCTTGGATAAACTATTAACTTCTCGGCTCTATGTCCTTCAGGAGTAAATATATACGCTGTATAATACAAATTTTGTATTTTTTCACACAAAAGAATGGGTACATTTGACCCGCTAAATATTGACCGATCTTTATCAAAACAGGCATGCTTATTCTTTGGCCCGATCCCCTTCTCCATGCAAAAATACGCGATGTTTGGACCATAATTGCGGCCTCTGGAGCGACCAGAAAATCAGACAAAAATAAAGTTTTTGGTCCATTTCATCCGCTAAATATTAACCGATCTTTAACAAAAACAATAGGGATCTTCATTGGGCAGAACCCATCCTACATGCAAAATTTCGTGAAGATTGGTCCATAACTGTGGCCTGTATCGTGTTTACAAATTATAATGGATAGACGGACGGACACACATGTCTAGATCGACTCAGCTAGACGAGATATGACGATCGGTATACTTAAAGGTGGGTCTAGTACCAATATTTCGCGGCGTTACAAACTTTTGGGGCCACACAAAGCTATAATACCCTGACAACATAGTTGTGTAGGGTATGAAAATCCACGCTTCTTTTAATTGTAAACTAACCCACCTTTCGTTTGTAGCTGTGATCTATTTGGAGCTTTGGAAACGTTACTCAGCCCGTTTAATACATCGATGGGGACTAACTGGCTATACGCACGATGTAGAACATCCTCGCCCTCAGTATTTACAAAAGCTAAGGAAAAATAGAAAACTTGCTCAAAAGTTGGATCAATTAGATCCGGAAAGTGTATTTGAACCGGAGGTGCCTTTTTGGACGACAAAGTTTTTACCCAGTTTTACCAGTTACAGTTTAATGGTATTATCGGTAAGTCCGCGACACTTTGCTTTCTAAATGTTCTTTACTTAATCGATTTTCACTTGATCTTTCAGATATGCATATCACTTATAGCCATATTCTCGATGATCGTCTATCGTATGGCCCAGCGAGCATCCCACAGTGTTTGGGGCGACGAGAATTCAGCAACATACAAAATTATGGCCATGCCTTTTACAGCTGGTATCATTGATCTGATTGTCATTTCCATACTAGATTATGCCTATAGTTCGTTGGCTGTTAAACTCACCGATTGGGAATATTGTCGTACCCAAACCGAATATGACGAGAGCTTAACCATTAAACATTATGTATTCCAATTTGTGAATTACTATTCTTCGCTGTTCTATATTGCTTTCCTCAAGGGCAAATTTGTTGGCTATCCCATGAAATATAATACGATATTTGGTTTCCGCCAGGAAGAATGTAACCCAGGTGGTTGTCTCATGGAACTGTGTATTCAATTGATTATCATTATGGTTGGTAAACAGGCTGTGAATGCTATTTTTGAAATGTTGGTGCCATATTTAATGAAGAAATTCCGGAAATTCTCAACGCATGTTGGTTTGCGTCGTCGTAAAAATGAAGAGAAATTGGTGTCGTGCAATCAATGGACCGAGGATTATCATTTGGAACCATGGACGAATACATCGATGTTTGGGGAATATTTGGAAATGGGTAGGGCTTGTGAAGAAAATGTAAAGACAATTTAAAAATAACGTTTCTTTAATTTCTTTGCAGTTATTCAATTTGGTTTTATCACCCTCTTCGGTTTGGCATTCCCCTTGGCCCCTCTGTTGGCTCTTATCAATAATGTCATTGAAGTACGATTGGATGCTGTAAAGATGTTAAAATTCATACGACGCCCCGTGGCACAGCGGGCACGTGACATTGGCGTATGGTTTAATATTATGACAGTTGTAACAAAAATTGCCGTCGCCTCATGTGCCATGATTATTGCATTCTCCACCAATCTTATACCGAAACTAATCTATCAGCATGAGACGCATGATTACAGTCTACAGGGTTATTTGAATTTTACACTGGCCTATTTTGATACCAAAGATTATCGAGTACAACCGATATTGGGTGAATCGAAATATGGTAATGTGACAGAATGTCGTTATTCGGAATTTCGTAATCCACCATGGCATGAGCATCCGTATAAGAGGCCCATGTATTATTGGAAAATTTTAATAATACGATTGGCGTTTATTGTGATTTTCCAGGTGAGTAATTTATGACATATGGTATTAAAAAAAATCTATTCAAAATAATTGTCATTTTTCAGAATGTCATTGGAATGCTACAAACCATAATTGCCTGGGCCATACCAGATGTCTCAGCCAAGTTATTACGCCGCATTAAACGTGAAAACTTCTTGTTACGCGAACACATCATTGAATATGAAAAACGCCAAGCCCAAAAAGATGCTGCCAAAAAATTAGCTGAAAAAGTCCACGGCTTTGCTTCGAATGTCATTAAGGGTATCAATAATAATATTAACAACAACAATAATAATCCATTGAATAATGTTGGCGGTGGTACATTTTCCGATCCCATTGAAGAAGAAGATGATGATGTGGTCCAACTACGCAAACGCAATATAATTCAAGATGATACAACGCAACTGTAGTTATTAGTTAATCTAAGAATAATTAGAACTAAGCTAGCATCGTCGATTGCCAAAGTTGCCAAAGTAGTGGGTAATCGAAAGCCAGTTGTAATTGTTTTCTTGTTAATTGTGAACTATAGCAGCTATTTATTGTTTAGAATATTTGATGTAGTCAATCAAAGGCTTCCTTTATTTTGTATAACTTTGGTATGACGGAGAAATTTTGATAGTATGTCTGGTCACAATTCTGGAGAGATTAGAATTAGAGTTTATAGAATTTAGGTATATGGGAGTTGTGGGGAAAACAAAACGGGGAAAGTAAGGCCTGCTAAATTTCTTCTATCCTTAGTACGTATTTTACTTTTGGAAGATGTTTCTCGTTGGAACCCTTTTGAATACCTTTGAAGGCAAGCCATTTATTCAAAATCATTCAGGTATTCTGCATTCGACTGACCTTAATAATTCAGTAAAGGTCAAATCTTAGAATAATTTCTTTAGTAGACCTTTTGAAGACATTGTAAAAAACAATTGCACATTTTGAAGGCTGATGTCTATAAAAGAAATCCTGAAGATGTTAGTAGACCTTTTGATGGCATTCCAGCCATAAAAAACCATTATAAGGCCTTTTATCCTCAATTTACCTGCAGATGGTAAATTGTTCGACTTTCCAAAGTTCGTTTATCCATAGAAAAACTATTTATGAGTATACTGCCTTTAAAATATCTTTGAAATAACTTTTACGGACTTTGAAAATACCAGAAAAAACTAGGAGAATTATATTTAAAAGTCCCTTGTGCGCAATACATTTTGAAACACCACCCTGTAGAAGAATTTTCACAATAATTTTGTTCATAAAAGACCTTTCGAAGAGCGGCTAGAATTAGAAGATATTTGGAAGAAATTTTTTTATAGAGTCTTCTATTTATAAATGAAGAACATGTGTACAAAAGGAGACCTTTGGAATGAGTCCTAATTTCCACATATATATGATTTTTGAGGAACATGTATACATAAGAAATCTTTGGGAGATATGTGAACTATGCTAGATCATTGAAAGTTCTGCTTAAGAAGACCTTTAGATGGTATTCTATCCATAATATGCCTTCAGGAGTTATTCTATATAATAATGCCTAAATGTACCTATATCGGAACATCAAAATTCTTCACTCCATTCGCAGAAGACCATTGCAAAAGAGTACATTCAGAAAGTCTTTCATCTACAAAAGGTAGAACCTTTCATCCACAAAAGGTAGAACCGATATTTATAGAAGATTTTTAGAATGACGCTATTATACAAATATTCGGAATTAGGAAATATGAATTCCGGCTTCGTATATATCATATATCGATAAAATTAATCAAAATTAGTAGACTCTTGCAGTCCTAGACG